TTTGAAACCAGTGAGCCAACTGTAAAGTGTTTGATTAGCCTGGAGTGTGAAATGGCCAAATATTGGGGAAGGCTGCACCGAAGAGGACTTCCACTCTTGGCAGGGAACAGTCCAGGAGACAAGTTTGGGTGAGCTGCTTATCAGATCATGACAGCCCATTAGCAAAAGGAGGGAAAGGTCTACCAAGGAAGGTGGAAAAAAAAAAAACCTCACTGTGCATTAGTTTTACATATTTATCTTATATTTGCTGTTTGTGAACATGTAAACCTTCTGTATTTTGCATTTTTTAAGTCTGTTCTATTTACTGTTAAATTATTTCATGTCGAAGTCTACCGTGTGATTTTTTTGTAGTCCTGAAACTAAGGATGTTGTTTGTTATCCTGGTACAGTTTTGTAGATCTCAATAAAACAGAAGGCCCTGTAACTTTTCAACCTGTTCTATAACTTACAGCTGCAATTGATTCAGAGATGCATGAGAAGGGGATAGAGTTCAGGTTCAGAAATCTGGTTTAAATGCTAGATTTAAAAAAACCCTTATTTTTCCAACTAGAAAATAGTGGCCTACAAATATAAAATGCAGTCATTTAGGCTACTTACTGACGTTTATGGAGATCATTTTGCACAGTGCTGTAGGTGGTTGGGTCTGATTCAGTAAAACAAGCTAGTGAAATTACACTCAGCTCCCAGACCAAAGCTTTGTCTCCTACAGACTCCGCATGTGAAGGCAGCCGATGTTCTCATAGGAACTGCAGTCCTCATCCCCACCCACTCAGGCTTGGACCTAAAAATTCCCTCTGGCATCGCCCCTGGGCCTGGTGATTGTTAGTCACGGCCAGCATGCCCTAGAATGGTAGGAAAGGAAACCAAGCACCATGCTTCAAAGGTATTTTGCTTGAAGCAAGTCATTTGCCTTTCTTTTCTTCTGGAATTAGAACTTTTAAAGAAGAGTAAAACATTGCAGGATAATCTACCTCTATTTGTAGTTTGGCTGCTGAAAACCAACCAAAAATTCCTTAATCAACATCCATCTTGTCATTAGCAATATAGGAAAGCAAATATGTTTTCACAGTCAAGGAGCAAGGAACAGATGAGCTGTTAGATTTGTGTTTGTGCAGTACTTCAACATTTCCAGGTTTACTGATGCATCAAAATCTTTCCAGTGAGCTGTAATGAACAGAGCTATGAGAGTGAGGAATGTGTTGTGTCATGTCAGTGTGGGTGGGCAGAGCAAAGCTGAACTGAATGAAACAACGTCTGTAGTAATTGGATGCTTACGCTTACAGGAATTAAGCCATTTAACCTCTTGAGAATGTAATATTTACCTCCTAGAGAGCTCCCCAGATTGAATGGACTTTAGAAATTGGAAAAAGGAAGAAGAGTGAAAAGAGAAAAAAACCCCACAATATTTTCTCTTCTAAGTATCTGCAACTTTCTAATATGTTGTTTTGTTACAGGAGCTCTCAGCTGGCCAGTAATACGTACCTAGAGTTGAGGGTACACTGTTTTGCTGCAGACTGTAAAATTAGAAATGGACTACAGTAGAGGCTCTTATCTTTTCTATCTGTATATATTTCTGTGATAGTAAAATTGCCTTATGAGGTATGCAGTTACATTCTGCATATGAAACGGTGTGGGTTGGGAGACCCAAAAGATAGGATTTTTGAAGCTTGTGTACGAATCTTGATGCGTTTAAGAGCATTAATGGATATTTTCTGATTGCAAAGAATGTTGCCTCTGCTCATGAAAGTGGTGGTGAAACATCAACTGCACCTTTATAAAAAACCAGTGGATTTTCAAAGCAATTTCATCTTTATAAAAAACAGTGGAGTTTTCAAAGCAATTTTAAATGCAGAGCAGTTCACTTTCCTATGGGTGAAGCATAACATCCTGAAGTAAACTAATCAGCAGAAAATGATGGTAATATTTGCAGTAATTCCCTGGCTTGTTGGTATTTAACCTTTTAGGGGCATAAGGTTGCTCTCCTGGAGATACATGCATCACTTGCAGGCACTCAGATGTAAGGTCTGTTGGGTCCAACAGCTGAACCTAAACCAGAATACCCTTTCAT